GTCCCCCCCCCCCCCCCCCTCACCTTTTGTAAACCCTTCTAGTTCGTGAGACCCCCACATTTTTGGACTAGCTCGGCCGAGGAAGCCCGATGCGGCTGGAAGCTTGGGTCCATGCTCAGTTCGGCCCGGGCTCTTCTTTTGGGAGAACTTCAGGGAAGGTGTAATAATTATGGGAGTCTATCTTCACATTCAATGTTATATCTGTAGTTTTGAGGTTTCTTTTTGTACGCTGTATACATGTGCGCCTTTGCATATATACGTATATATATATANNACATATTATATATATATATATGTGTTATGTACTGTCTTATTATTTTTATACTCGTATGTACATGCGTATTTGTCTGTTTATGTATCCAGGTTTGTTTTGCACATACAGATGCAGCAAAGAAAAAGATGCTTTTCTGGCCCCTCACACTTGGCTCCTAACCTGTGATTCTCGGGCTGCTGATGTGGCGGCAAGCATTGCAGCTGCCATAATGCAGTGTTAGATAGACGCTGCTAGGGTGCATGTTTCAGTATGTGTGGAGGCGGCTTCTACAAAATATGGCGTGAACAGATTTCTGCAGGAGGTTCATGGTAAGAGCAGCCATGAGGTTGTTGCTGACACTGCAACACGTTAGCTCATGCTAGGAGTGAGTTCGCTAAGTAATCCTACGCTTGTCGTTGTACAACGACAGTTGCCGCAGGCAAAAAGAGGTGAAAATCATCCGTAAGAGATTCAGACACACCAAAAAATGCAGTACTTGTAACATCACCAGTCCCACCCGAAACCCGGGGAACCCCCCAACGCAGTCCCCAAGGCGCAAGCCCAGGCGTAAGCGGGAACGCCCTACTTGGAGGTTCATGGGTAGTTATAAGTAGGGTAGCTATAATTATAACCTATATTAGGGGACTTGTAACTCCACTTACTAATTTCAACCTATATTAGGGGACTTATAACTCCACTTACAACGACCCATGAACCTCCAAGTAAGGCTTCTACCGCACACTTCGACTTCGATGGCGGCTCCTTGGTTGCTTTTTAAGGGGCATATACCGAGTAATATGGACCCCTGAGTGTTTAGCCTCTTCCTGCAAGGTCCTTTCCATTAGGATACCCTACTAAAAAGGCAAGATTTAGGGCCATACTTCGGGGTTTCCATGAGTAGTTATAATAAGTGGGGATATGAGTCCTTTGATGTGGGGTAATTTGATTGGTAGAGTTACCCGACTTGTAAGTCTAATGATATCTAAGCATGAGCCTCCAAGTACTGTGCAGTCAGCACCTGCAGCGCCAAAGTTTTCGAGATAGTATACAGGAAAATCATAGCACCCTAGAAGCGTAGCGGTGGAGAGGGCAAGCATCCTTAAGTTTATCGAGTTTTGTCTGGCGTTCTAGCTTATAAACGCGTTTCCATGTCATTAGTAAGCGCGTATAGTCGTACAATTAGGGTCGTGTAAGGTGCCTAGGCTCTGTAGTGACCTCGGATCAGGGGACGTCGTAGGTGGGTTTAGAATTATGGCTAGAAATGATGTGAAGCTGCACTGCCTAGTACGCTACTTGTTGCCACACTGAGTTGCTGAAGTTGCTGATCGTTGCCTGATCTTGCGAGCCTTTGCGCAAAGGTCTTCAATGGTTTAGGGACCGGGGTGTAGGTTTTAGCGTCAGACAGGCACTAGAAGTGCTGCAAATAAGCAGGAACACGAATAGCAAGATTTAAAGTAGGAAAGAAGTAAGGGTAAGCACGGCTAGCTGGCAGAGCACCCGAATTGCGAGGCAGCCCTGCAACCAAGCCCTTAAAGTCCAAACACAAGGGACCCCTAGTGCAGAATAGGATCCTTATTGTAAGTACCGATGGAAAGGGGACCCCTGAAAACCCCCGATATCGCCCCACAATCCCCCACCCCCGAGCCAAAACTTGCGCCTCAACTCCCCTAAACAAACCCTAAACCCCAAACCCTGAACCCTGCACCCTAAACCCTAAACCCTAAACCCTAAACCCCTAAACCCTAACCCTCAACTCTAAACCCTCCTTGACTCATCCAGGGGAGTTGGCGGATCAAGTCATCAAGGCCACGGGGGCACGGGAAGGGGCGGTAGGGCGGCAATTTCCGATTCCCTTCAGTTTGAGGTGTTTGCCAGGGGCCCTTGGTCCTAGTTTAGGTTTTAAGGCCTTTAGGACTTTAGGGCCCTTGAGGGTTTAGGATACTTCCAGGTTTGGTATGTGACTATTCGTTTCTGCAGGATTCCTTTCCGAGGGTTGGGTTTGTGGGATATAGTTTTGAGGTTGTGGGGCTTTGGAGCACCGCAGGGTCCGATAGAATCTCTGCAACTGTTCACGTCGTTGCTACAAGATTTGTTTCGGAGTGTGATGGGGCTTTAGGATCAGGGACTTGCTACGCGGGTGATAGTGACGGTGAGAACACTTCGAAGTGGTATCTTTCATGCTTGAACTTGCTAGCAGAGTCGCTTGATCCTTAGGACACTTGATGTGCCCACAGGATGATGCAGATGATCTGCCGTTAAGATACCCCAGATCAGTGGGCAGTAGAAGCTGCGCAGGTGATGATTGTAAATTTCGGCCTTTGTTTCTATCTTTCTGCACGTGTGACGGTTGCATCTGTGGTGGATTCATGTCATTGTACATAACACATGCAGCGAATGTGTGTCTGTGCGACGGAAACCTCGCTCACTTGTTCCGAGATTTAACCAGCCCGGACTTCTTTGGCCACGGTGGGAGGTCGAGCTGATCGACGAAGACTGACGAAATGAGAGTCTGCCAATGCTCGCATGGACAGGGAAAAATACTTATGCTTGGGGTGTAGGGGCAGGGAAAACACTGGGCTTCGTTCTGTTTATATGGGGGGCCGTACGAAGAAAGACTGCTAGCTGAAGTCTGTCATGCAAATTTCCGTATTTCTGCCTGGGATGATTGTGCGTTTCCGGTTTAGACTCCAGACCTTTGTAGGAGGTACTAGGAGAGGGGTCTCGGTGTGTAAGCCTTTGGGCAAGCATCTCCCATGTTAAGGCGAACTTGTTCGCCAAAGGGATATGCAAAACGATTATGCATCAAGATACTTATTTGCACGTAATACTTCAGGAGAAGGAGCCGAACGGATGCCATACTTCAGACCAGATTGTGCTTCTGACAGGCCGGACATGCTCCCGCATGAAGTTTCTTGTTTTTGGGGGTTGTTGGGCAGTGTGGGCAGTGTGGCCGGTTGTCTTGACATTTCTCAACTGTCTGAACACATGGAGCTTGCCATGGTCAGCACGCAGTCCTGATCTTGGGCTTTGCCGACCTTGGCTGGAGGTCATGCATGTTTGCAGACCTTTACGTCTACTATCAAACATGAACCAGTATGAAACCCTGAGCCGCAAGCCTGAATTACACCTCTAAACCTCAACTTGCAACCCCCCTAAAACCACAAAGAACTTAAGCATATGTAGACAGGTGGTGACCAAGCATGGTTTGTCCGACGTCCCAGGGACGTCTGAAGCGCTTTTAGCCCTCCTAACCCTGCAGCGCTTGCACGCCTACTATCAGGCCTCAGACCAGGATCAGCTGATTGAAAACAGAGCTCTGACCGCAGAGATGGATTAGCCACATGGGCCTGCCGAATGCTCGATGTCGGCATCGTGCTGGCCTCAGACCAGCAAGGCTCCCCCTGGACCACCGGAACCCTACAAAGGGGTGTACTCGAAGGGCCCAGCCCCAATTGCAGCGCTGGCTTCGATCTTTCAGACTTCGAGGGCTTCGGCCTGAACCCTACAGAGTGCACTCGGATGCCCTGGGGAGCCTGACCCCCAAGCATGCCCAGACCCTTCATGCCATACCCTGAAGCCTAAAGGCCTCTAACTGCTATTCCTGAACCCTGGGCCCTAAATCCCTAGTCCCAGGTCCGAGTGGCACCATGCCGAGGACTCTGCTTTTTGGGTGATTCCGAAGCCACGACCCGAGGGTTTGAGAGCGCTTGCAGTCCGCTCCTGGTTAGTGTTCCTGTTGAAGCTTTCCTTGGGTCTATAGGGCCCGAAAACCTGACTCTTCTTCGGCACCTTTCGATTTTTTCGTGCAGTAGTAACTCACATGATGCACCTCTTGGTGGAGAATCCCATAAACCTCCACAGGAACCCCACAAAACGACTCCTCGTCGAGTTTGCTTCCTCATCCTCATGCCCGGCTCAAGCGACTTCGGGCGCTCTGTAACGAAGATGGACATTTAGGGTCTCGGATGTTGCGGCAAAATCCCTCCCTACTGTACTGTGTTGTGCTCCATGTCGATTACTGTGGAAGTTGGGTTGCTCAGTGGACGGACAGCTATCCTCAGCGCAGGATTGGAGGAAGACGTGGGAAGTCTGACAGGTCGGGCACAGACTGCACTCGGAGTCGGGAGAAGTCGGCTGGTGGACTCATCCGGAGGCGTTCTGGATGGATGTGCACAGATCAAGCACTCCGGCCTGCAGAGTGGCGATACGTTGACACTGCATGTAAACAGAGTTCAATTACAGGGAGCGCAACACAGTTTCGCTGCGGTTCTCGGCGATGGATCCGTTGTGACCTGGGGTGATCCTCGCTCGGGCGGTGACAGCAGTGCGGTAAAGCACCAGCTGAAGAATGTGCAGCAGATCCAGGCCTCCCAAAAAGCTTTCGCGGCAGTTCTGGATCATGGATCTGTTGTGACTTGGGGTAATGCTCGCTCTGGTGGCGACAGTACTGCTGTCCAGCATCAGCTTAAGAATGTGCAGCAGATCCAAGCCTCCCAGAACGGATTTGCTGCCGTGCTTGAGGATGGCTCTGTGGTGGCCTGGGGTGATCCTCGCTCGGGTGGTGACAGCAGTGCGGTGCAGCATCAGTTAAAGGACGTGGAACAGATCCAGGCGTCTGCCGGCGCCTTTGCTGCCATTCTCGGAAATGGATCTGTCGTGACTTGGGGTAGTCCTTGCTCCGGTGGTGACAGCAGTGCGGTGCAGGACCAACTAAACAACGTGAGGCATATCCAAGCCTCCACAGACGGTTTCGCTGCCATCCTCGGAGATGGATCTGTAGTCAGCTGGGGTCGTTCTGACTATTTTGGTGACTGTGGGGCTGAACTGGATCAGTTAAAGAATGCGCAGCACGTCCAAGCATGTGCCGGTGGTGCGTTCGCTGCGGTTCTTGACGCTGAAGGTTCCGTCGTGTCCTGGGGGGAGCCTGGCTCGGGTGGTAACAGCAGTGCTGCGAAGGATCAGCTCAGGTGCGTGCAGCAGATTCAAGCCTCGACATACGCCTTCGCAGCCGTTCTTTGCGATGGATCTGTCGTGACTTGGGGCCATGCTTGTTTTGGTGGTGACAGTAGTGCCGTGCAGGATCGGCTAAAGAATGTGCAGCAGATCCAAGCTGCTCACGGAGCCTTTGCTGCCATTCTCGGTGATGGATCCGTCGTGACCTGGGGTGATTCTAGATCTGGTGGTGACAGTGTTGCCGTGCAGGATCAGCTGAAGTATGTGCGACAGATCCAAGCCTCTACCGGGGCCTTCGCTGCCATTCTTGGTGATGGATCTGTCGTGACCTGGGGTGGTTCTGGCTTTGGCGGTGACAGTAGTTCTGTGCAGGATCAGCTGAAGAATGTGCAGCAGATCCAGGCTTCCGCGAAAGCTTTTGCGGCGGCTCTTAACGATGGATCTGTTGTGACATGGGGTCATCCGGGTTCTGGTGGCGACAGCAGCGCTGTGTGGGATCAGCTGGGCCAATCCCTTGCTTGACCGACAAAGCTTCCTTCCGTTCACAAGGCGTGCAACGACTGGGGATTTGGGGTTTTGGACTGGCTCGGATGCCTAATGACTCCACACCAATGCTCTAGATTTTGTTCTGGCCTGTTGCTGTTGCTGCCGGCATGGTGATAATCCTCATCATTTAGTTGTCACTATCACCACTGTTGCTGCACGTGATCCATATCGGCATGGAAGCCCTAAACTCCTAAACTCTAAGCCTCTTGCTGTACACTGTAAGTGCAAACAGACACTCTTCGTGTCGGATCATCCCGACTCCTGCAGCTCAAGTTGCAGGACGCATGATGGCCCTTTGGCAGCTCATCTTCCTCTTCAGGTGCACGGATACAAGGTTGTAGAGCTGTGCTCGAGGGATCTGGCTTGGGGGATTTTGATGGCTTGCTCATATCGGGGTTTAAATGGTTAAGTATCCTACTGGGGCTGGTCATACTTAATTAATTAGGACATATTAGGACCAACTTTACTGCCCCGAATGCTAAGCCCCGCGATCCTTTACGTACAGTCTCAGGTACTGGACACAGCCCTAATCCCTGGCCCTAAGCACAGAGTGCGCGACACCGACACGAGAAGAGTACCATTTTTGAAGGGGTGGCTGTACGTGGAACTACTATCCCAATCGCAATGATTTGGTACTCAGCGATCTGAGTGTTTCGGGGCTCTCTAGGAAATGCTACGGCTATGACTACCTCGAATTTAGGGTTTGGGGATTCGGGATCTCTGTGGGGTGTCATGTCGGAAAAAAAGACCAGGACGTCTGTTATGTGCGGTTAGGCTTGTTCTGTTTAGGGCTGACCCGGCGTGAAGCGTTTTGGCAAAGACACCCTCGATCCGCCAGGGTGTTGGCCCCCGCAGCGGCCGCGACAGTTGCTGGGTCCTCAGAGGTGGTCCCCGGTCCCCGAGGCAGTCCTTGGCTTGAAGCCAGCATCCAGTTGCAGCCCCTGGCCCTCCACCCTTCATCCAACGCCCTAAACTTTGAACCCTAAACGCTAAACCCTAAACCCCAAACCCTAAATCCGAAACCCTAAACCCTAAACCCTAAACCTAAACCCAAGAAGCCCTAAACCTTGAACTTGGGATGCCCTGAGCTCAACTTCGCCCCAAGTAACGAGCGTCATGTGAGGCCGAGGATTCCGACGAATTCGCCAACCTCAGTCTCATTGGGGATCAGGTCGGGGGTTCTTTTGGTTTTCCGGTTTCATCCGGGCTTGGCAGGAAAAATGCGTTTGTACGATGTCTCAGGGCTTGGTGTATGTCAAGGGCTTGGTGTGTGGATCCAGAAAACCTTCCATCTCAGGTTTGAGGCTCGGGGCTCTGAGATGTCGGCGAGGCAGTTAATTTCTCGAAGCCTGGAAAACCCAGTCAAATTGGATGCGACTGTGACTCTACGTATGATTGCACGAGGAGCTCTCTGCAGGTACCTTCCAACCATGCTTATGATCATTAGTCATGATCCTCGAAGTAGCCCCAAACAAACCCTACAACGCTGCTGTCAAACCCTGAGCCCGAGCAGCAGAGTAGTGGTATTCCGATAGAAGACAAGAGAAGACAGTCGCTGAGAGGTCGTGCCGCTGGACGTGGAGCCCCCTCAGAGAGATTCGGGAGTTCTTCCGAACCGACCCCTGGACTCGATTCAGGGGCCTGAAAGACTTGCTGAGTTGTGTCGCTGGACAGCCCTTGCTTTAAGCAGCCTTAGAACTCCCAGCTAAGGCTCCACGCTAGCTCTGCAATGGACGCCGCCTAGCCCTAAGCCGTCGCCGCTTCAGTTCTACGAGCTGGAGTATGACGAGTCTCGGAACAACTAAGATGCCCTTGTTGGATCCTGCCTTCTAAGAGTTTTGAAGATCAAAACGGAGAACTCACGCCCCCCCCCCCCCCCCCACCCGAAAGTGTGGACATGGAGTTCATGACCTTGAATCCGAAAGTCATTTTATGTGCGCTAAGTAGAAGCCCTATCCAAAACACCCTTTCCGAAGCCCCCAATGCCCCCAACCTGCAAACCGGCCTCAAAGCCAAGGACGGCTATGGGCCGAACTGGACGTCCTCTCTCCTCCTCCCGGCTGCTTACACCAGCTACGAACTGACGGGCCCGATGGGGTGTCTGCAGGGCTCCAGTCATTATGGCTTGGACTTGGAGCTTTGGAGCTTAAAGTTGAAAGTTGCATCATATAGGCCATGGTCTCAGAGGGTTGCCTGAGGGAGCAGCAGAATACGCAAAAGAAGAATGGCGGCTGCAACTCTCACTAGCTTTGGAATATAGGCTTGTACTCTCTGGCATGTTGGGGTTCACGTGGGGCTGTAGGGTTTTAGGGCTTTTGCGCTTGGTTTTCAGGGTATAGGGCTTTGGGGCTTAATCGTTTATCGTCCAAAGGGTAGAAGTTTAGTGAAAGGCAAAAAGCCAGTCGTTTGAGCAGCTGACGACGGTAGCCATCATCCCCAGCTGCAACAGCAACAAGCATGGACGACGTTTGGCATGTCCCACGCCTCTAAATATAGCGAAGCTCGAACGTAGGATTGAGCCCGAGGCAAGAGCCGTTCGCGCCTGCCCCGCAGCTCGGCCTTCGGGCCTAGACGCAAAGCCACAGAAACCCTTAGTCCCAAGTCCTCCAACCCAACAAGGCCCGACATGGCCCGAACGGGGCCCAGCAAAGAGCTCTTGGAGCCCTGGCCCGGGCCAGGCCTGGTCCCTGGCGGCCGCTATCGCGTGCGCCTGCGCGTGGCAACGCTGGAGGGCTGGTCCCGGTGGAGCCCCGAGGCCGTCTGCGGCGCCTTGCTCCCGGGTTTCGGGAGGGGAGGAGGCCGTGAATCCCCAAATATCCCTGAGCCCTGGAAGGCCTTCTCTCGAGCTCAAGAGCCCGAAGGATAAAGGGCGTTTTCAAGGGATTGTGCCCGATGCCGGAACCTCCGGCTTTGTGTTTGCAAGCTGAAAGAGCGTCACAGCTCCAGGCGGTGTCTGTCTGTCTGTCTGTCTGTCAGTCTGTCTGAGTGAGAGAGAGTCTGTGCAAAAGTTTCTTTGTATCATTGTATGTCTGGGAGACTAAGCTCCTCGACAAAAAGCAGCCGCGCTGCCGCGATGATAGCAACCTTCGAAGACAAGATGCCAAGTGTGGCATTTCCCTACATGTTGTGATGTAGCGGTAAGATACACAAAGACTTTAAATGGAACATAGAGTCGTAGTTGTGACAAAGGTCTTCAGAATATCCCAAAATCATCCAGAACTATCCCTAACCCCCCAGGTACCTCCTATCTAGGGCCCTAGGGAATCTAGTACCCTCTATAGTAGGTACCTGGGTGGTTAGGGTATGACCGGGCTTCTCACTGCAACGAGCCCTTGAAGTTCCCGGGCGAGGCGGGCTTCTTCGCCTGCGAGCCACCTGGGCCGCCTTCAGGCGGGGAGGTTTCGGGCCTTCACAGGCCTTTGCCCATAGGCCCCCCATAGTAGTTCCTTTTGGGGGTTACCTTATAGGATTCTATATATGAGCCCCAAAAAGGAACTACTTTAGGGCCTATGGGTGGGTGTATTGTCTCCTTTGGGGCTTTGCAGCTTTGGGGGTTTGGATGCACGGCGAAGCCCTTGATAAACTGGGCGCACTGCAGGAGACAATTCAGATAAACCGCGCCAACTCAAGCACGGCAACACACTTCAAGCTTGTAGCCCAGGCGCCAACGGAAACCATCACACAACCAACGGTGGTTTTGGGGATTTATCCGCATCATCCTGGTCCCAGCCCATGGTCCTTTGCCCCCTAAACTCGAGTACGAAAAACCCGAATCCCATCCTGAACCAAGCCAACAACCCCATCCTGAACCCACAAGCGCTTCATAAACCAAACGAGTCCCGACACCTATGTAAACCTTAAACCATAAACTCTCAAGCCTTCTACGGCTGCAGGCTGCCAGACGAAAAGAGCACTCGAAGAGCCACAATGATACGACCTTATGAAACCTAAACCCTAAACCCTAAACCCTTAAACCCTTAAACCCCTAAACCCTAAACCCTTAAACCCTAAACCCTAAACCCTAAACCCTAAACCCTTAAACCCTTAAACCCTTAACCCAAAAGCCCAAAGCCAAGCCGAGTGGCTCCGGAGAAGGCCTTGAGTCTTCGTGGAACTCCGGCGGACTCCGGCCCTATTTGACTTGGACCGCCCCGGAGGCCCCGGGCTTTCGAACTTCTTCCGGTTGAACGGTTTAGGGTTTAGGGTTTAGGGTTTGGGGTTTAGGGTGTAGGTATTTAGGGACCCCAAGAAGCACATAAGCATAAGCATCTTATAGGGATATGTTTTGCTTATGTGCTTTTTTTTGGGGGGCCGAATTTATGGACGTATGCTAGACAAGAAAGGTAGGTGCCAGCAGAACATAGCACAATACAGCACGTACATACACAACCACGGCAACCACCCACTTCGCTGCTAAAGTGCTTACGGCATTATGATGAGGATCAAACCCAAGATGGTGATCGTATCAAACGCGGCAGAGGAACGGGGTGCGTGATTCATGGAGTTGTGCTTTTGCCATCACATCATCAGCCTTTCGTTTCCCCCTTACATTATCAAATCACTACTACCATCATCCCTTTCTCGGGATCAGGGCCGTCATCATCAACAACAGCATCGCTTATCATCCACACCATCGCCGCCACCTATCCAAAAGCACCGTCACTGCCTCAAACTTAAACATGCAGCGATGCCTTCCGTGCAGGATCTCGGCGGTGGCTTTGGCGTGCAAGACCACCTCCGTGCCTCAGCTTGGAAGTCCTGTCGCAGTATAGCTAGTGCTATGAGGCAGCGAACGAAATGTGCCCGCCTGACGCCGAAAAAGGAAGGCTGACGTGCACCCCTCAAAAGCTTTAGAAACCCCAAGCCACCATGAAGCCCCCCCTCCCTCCAAGGCATCGTGGGCTACGTGCTCTGGCTGCAGCTACCAGAGGCGCCTCCCCAAAGGATCGCCGAAGTTCCAGGGGAGCAGACGCAAATGGAAGTCGATCTTCCCGACGTGCTCCTCGGTGTCTATGTTCAGGGACTTGAAGTGGGATTGAGGGTTCCAGTGTTGGCTGGCGGGGCTTGATGTTGAGTTAGCTGCTTGTTGTAGGAGAGCTTGGTTCGAGTTTTCTCTAGCCAACGCTGTACCTCGGACGGCTCCGGAAGGCTTGAAACCCGATGCAAGAAAAACAGTAGAGGGAGCAAGCCCCGAAGACTCTGAGCCTGTACGAGGCTTCGACGGGAATGCGAGGTATTCCCTAAGCTACCAGAGAACCTGAAGGCACCCCAAATCCCAACTCCTTGCCCCAAGGCCGCGAGCTTCAAATATCCTAGAGCCTGCAGCTCAAACCCTATACCCTCTACCAAACTCACATGAAATAAAGCCATTATTAAGGCATCCTACAGAGTCCACATCCAACGACAGGTTCAGCACGCAGTTTCTTTTCTCCGTCAATGCCAGGAACCAGGCGGACCGGATCAAAGCTGTTTACCAAGGGTTTAGGGTTTAGGGAAGTGTACAACTTTGCAGTCTTATCTTTAGAAAAACGACGACCAGGTTTCTTAGGCTTTTCCAAAAGGCCTAGTAGGATTTTCCTACTGCGCACTCGTATCTACAAGCCCAGGTCTTGCGGAGTCAAGGCCAAAAGTTTGTCCGAGGTGTCTCTCAAGTACACTGTCAGCATCAATGTGGTTTATGGTGAATGTTGTAGCTATCCTAGTTACGAGTAAGATTGCCTTCCGTGTTTGACTTGATTGATGTGATATTCGGCCACTGTTGTCACCTTTACATCTGCGTGTACGTGCGAAGGATCCTTCGTTGATCAGAATGTGTTGCTATGATGACAACTGAAGTTGCTGCCTCTCTTCTTGAATCGATCATCCTCGCAGCGTTTCATCTTTTGGCGCTGCAGTACAGGGCCGCACGAAGAACCAAAGCATTGGACTTCAGGTACAGGTCGAGGCTTGAAGCCCCCGTGCGTTTTCCAGCTTGGGGTTACTTTTAGACACCAAACAAACCCTTTGGGGACGATGGGGCCTCAGTTTGGGGTTAGCAGATACATTGTTTGCAGCATGCCTCCGATCATGGGCAGCACTCTGAGCGCCTGCGAGTTTTGGTACTTATCAACACTCAGAGGCTTCACAGCCTGCATTCTCAATCTGCGCCTATGGGCACGAGATCTTGATGCCGAATCCTATGTTTCGGATGTCCGTCCTGCCCGCAATCCCTAAGCCCTGAGACCATGTCCCAAACCCTCGAGCCTAAACCTCCAAGTCCCGCCATACAAGCCTCTGAAACCCTCTGATGCGCTGTAAGCCCGATGAGCCCCCTTGAAGCAATAAGGCACTAAACCCTAAACCCTAAACCCTAAACCCTAAACCCCTAGACTCTGCCCCCTGCAGGAGTTCGACGGAAATCGCAGCGCAGCCTTGGACTTGGCGACATCCGGTCCACCAGGCGAGGGCAGAGAGACCACAGGGTGTGGTGAAAGAACCGAGGAGCCCTCCAGCCCCTCCATTCAAGACTTTAAGTCTAGGGTTTAGGGTTTAGGGTTTGGGGTTTGGGGTTTAGGGTTTAGGGTTGAGCCTCTGTTCAACCTCAACCCCCTTAGATGGCCCAAAGCCACGCACCATGAACCCCCCGATACAGATCTATAAGAACCGCACATCGTGCTGCAAAGCCGCGCCACAAAAGCCCTGTTAAGGCTACACAAAGGTAAAGCCATAATACAAAAACAGAGGCAGCGAAGTGCCAAAGCAGGCCCTAAGACTTGAAGCCCCATGAGAAGACCCTTCTTAAAGGATCATGGGGCTTAGTAAGTAGGGTTATAACTTATAACTAAGGTAGCTATCGTTATAACCCCAATTAGGGGACTTATAACCTTATACTTACTAAGTC